GGGCCTAATTATATACGGAAAATGCAGTTCCAACTCAAGCTGTGCTGCTGTTTTAGGAAGCGCATAAATGGGGAACGATGATCTTCCATTCCATTGTGTGCTCTCCCCCTCTGCACATTCTTACAGATGGAAATGCATTTCCATGCAGGCTAAAGCGCTTTGATTGGCTCTCATATGAGGGAGTGCACACATTTAATTTATGGCTCTACTCCCCCCCACGAAAGATGATCGCAAGTTGGGAGTGTCATAAAGATTATGCATTAGAAGAAAGCTAAACCTTTGGCTGTTGGCGCTGCTCATTAAATATTCAAATATGAATATGTTACGGTAACAAACATAAAAAATGACTATCATTATGCAGGTGGTAATTGGGAGCCGAAAAGAGTTTAATTTGGAAACCAAAAAAACAGTTGAATCAAATTTAGAATACTCGTAAATTGAGTGCCCCCCAAAGAATGATTTTACCATACATTCTGTATCTTTGTATCTAAGTATCTTTGTGTGTCTCTCAGGCACCGCTTCGTGGTTGTGGTGGGGCTTGGGTGGTCAGCGAAACTGAAATATTTCGGTACTTTTGCTTTTCCAAAGTGTGCCACAGCCACAGATGCTATAATTATGATGGGAATATACATACATACATACATCACTAGGTATGGTAGGTATGTCAGTTACTTTTGCCATTTGATGCCCACTAGCCACGCACAGTGAGCGTCATATGTGTATAGTTAATTAGGTTCTGTGCCTCGGGCCCTGGCTGTCTGCCTCTCGTAGGTAGTTCTATTTTATTCATAAGCTCATAATTATGTTCCACAGCTCGAACGATCGAGTCTTGAATCGTCTTGGATCGGGCCTTTGGGGTCATTCAACTCTCGATCAATCACTCTGTTGGGCTCACTTCTTCTTTTGTTCGCAGCCGCACAACATTCGTAACTCTCCTTTCTATACAAATTTCTTTAAACTTTAATCATATTCCCCTCCCCGCCACACATCTCCTCTCTGTGTGTCTCTGTATTTAATAGCCATTATGCGCATTACGCTGTTTTCGTGGCTAATTAACAGCGCACAAAAATGCGCCCAAACAAAAAACTTTTCAATGCCTTTTGCAGTTGTGTCTTTGTGCGGCTCTTAGAAATGCAAATTAACAAAACTCTGACTACAGCAGAACGGACAAAGAACGGACAGCGCTCCGGTGATGGACAGACAGTGAAGGGAAATTCTTTGTTCGGATCCGGTTGGGAGTCTGTATCTCATGCTACTGCTGCGCAATCCGTGGCGAGGCATCTGCCAAAGGTCTAATTAAATTTGCCAAATTTAATGGCTCAGACCTGGCATTTAGGTGCAATTTGCGTTGACTCGAATCTCTGGCCCGGTCAAGGTGAAAGTTGCGACACCTGCCACAGGTAGTCATGACAGATTACCCTGCTTTGCGTCCACTAGCCACCGTCCCGTCCTTTCGCACGGTGACGCGCTGGGGGCCTTGACTCTGACTCTTTTTGACAAATTAATTGTGCGGCTAAGCAGCAATTTGCAGCAGGTTACCCCCACCCGCACCCCCACCCCCTCCCACCAATTAAATCCTGCCCACAAAGTTGCGTTGATTATCAACCTGAAATATGGCAGATTGAGTGCTGCCGTGCCACAATTTGCATGCCTCAGCCAGCCGCGATGCAGTCGACTGGAAAGCAGTCCGCAGAGCAGTCTGCTGCAGTGTCAATGATTCGGGTAAATTGACTGCAACTTCATTTGCGACACACCCGCGGAGGGATGCTCAGCCGAAACTTTTCTGCTCCATTGAAGCATTCGATTGAGAGGCTCCAAGATGCCAGTAGAAAGTTGCAGTTGCAGTTGCAGTTGCTGTCTCAGTGGCAATGACACACTGCGGCAGAGAGTCAGTCTCAGTCTCGTCTCAGACTAATCTGCATTTGAATTGCATTGGGTGGGGGGCCTTTGGTCACTTAACGGTTAGAAGAGAACGGCAACGGGTTTTTGCTCCGCCCAGCCATGGGGAGACTGGACCCACAAGAAGGTGTCATAAGCGGGTATTCATGGGATGCGTGCCATCGGACAAAAAGTCTCATACGAGAAGTTGAGAAATTCCAACAATTTTAATTATTGCCATGGTCCGTGGTCCATGGTCTATGGTCCCATTCCCCCACATTCCCCTCCCCATTTGACTACGCCACTGAGCTCTGAAGACGCCTCGACGAGTGTGGCTTAGAACCGGTTAACAGCTTTCTGATGACACTTACAGTTATGTTCAAATAACAGCCGTAGAGCCGTTCTCTCGGACTGTGACTTATGCACGACTCCTATGTAAAATCTTCGAATTCGAAAGCCAAACAGAATGCAAAGGCAATTTACAGACAAATACCAAATGATTATTGTTGGAAAGCAATGAAAAACAGATAAGTTTAAAATTCAGAAAAATATTGCCATAGAAACCGTAAAAAAACATTTTTACTTGCAAGAGTTTCTGCTTCATTAAACCTGCATTGGCAGGAAGTTTTTAGATAATTAAAAGTTGAGTGTACAAGCAGCAGCAACAACAAAACTCAGCGAGCTGCTTATACGTTCTACTTCATTCCCATTTGAGATGGAAACAACCAGTCGGAAACTTTCGAGACGAGTCACACGTGCCGCGACACTGCCATACCCTGGTATTCAGTTTCCATAAATGTGATACAAAAAGCTGAAGCTGTAGTACTTATTGATGATCAGACTGCAAAGTTTTCGTCTGATTTTGCATTCGGGGTTTTCTCTTATCTTCCAAATTGTTAAGGCACAGAATTTCGATGCGTAAGCGATGCATATTTGCATCTACACGAAAAGATAAAGCTTCAAATTAAATATATATTGAGCTTCTTCTTGCTATTTCCCTTGCAGAAACATCTTTTGTATTGTTCATCAGTTTGAAATATTTAAATTTAAGTGAAGAACTTTACTCTTTGGAAGCGTAATCCCTTGCCTGATTTTGCAACTCATTTCGGCATCATCGTCATGACCTTTTGATGGCATCCAAGCAGCAGCAGCAACAACAACCAGATATAGGAAGCAGGCGTTAACCTGGCGTGGGCTCTCCGGCATGCCATCATCCTCAGCGCCATCATCAACTGCATCTCCATTTCCATTTTCATCCCATCAACATCATTGCTGTCGCCGGTCGCCGGTTGCCGGCTGCTGTCGCCTCAACGATGAATGACAATTTTGCAAATGGCTTTGGGTGCATAATTTATGCAGATGCAACTGCACCAACTGGCAATGGAGGGATGCAGATGCAGATGCAGATGGAGCTGAGCTGCAAAACTGGCAGCATTTAGCGCGTTGACTATTAAGGCGAACTTGTTATGCCACAGTGGAAAAGGGGGGGTGAAGGAAGGGGTGCCGTGCCGTGCCATGCCCCGAGGTGCCAGTGGCAGTGGCAGCATCGCCCATGCATATTCAAACGCTATAATCCCAACGGTATTTTAATGCTAAATGCTTACTCACTCACTCACAGAAGGAAGAGGGAGAGAGAGGAAGACGGAGAAAGAGGAAGAGGGAGGGAGAAATAGAGACGAGAAAAACCCGTTTTTCCAGTAATGACCTTCGGTGTTGTTTTATTATCACTGCCGCTTCCTGCTACCCGCCACCCCCAGTCCAGCCCAGCCCAAACCCAACCAAAACCAAAGACCAACTCCATTTGAAGCTCTCTTGGAAATTCCGTTGAATCGCACAACAAAAGACCAAAGTTTATGTTGCTGCCTCGAACGAACACAAAAGTTCTGCTTGTCTCTGCGTTTGTCTCTCTCCTATTACCACTTTCGGGCCCAACTGGGACCATGCTGGCCAAAACACTTGAATGGATTTGCCAATCCTTAGTTAATTAGCCAACTGCTAAAAGCTCGTATCTCTGTAGTTTATTTTCTCTTTAGAATAATTTATCCACTGAGCATTATGGACTGGCAACTGGTGCAGAGTGCTTGGAGAGAAGTTAATTAAAAGTCACTTTCAAATCGGAATCGATAAGCGATAATGTTGCACATGCAATTTGCATTCAATGAGTGTCAGCCGATCCACAGTTCTGGGCCGAGTTGTGGCCTAGAAGGGGGGTTAACTTTTTGTGTAGAAAGTGAAAGATATTTCTGCAATGCCATGAAGTCGAAGTCCCCTCTTTGTGGGGCCACTGTGGGCAACCATTCTGCACCTGCAACTGTCATATTAATTGCATTTCAGCTACAGTCGCTAAAAATGCAAATAGATACGGGTCTGAGCTCGTTCAGACGGTGGCCTTGCAGCGGTCACACTTTACGAGACGTAATAATTGACATTAATATATTAGATTTACGGCACAGCCAATCCCCTGGTTTGCAGTCCAGGAGTCTACTAAGAACAAGTGTGCCATAAAAGCCACAGACACAGCCACAGCCACAGACTCAGCCACTTGGCCATGTTAACCTTGATGAACAGTTCTCTTTTAACCCCACTCTTAACCCCTCTCTGTGTGTATGTGTGTGTGTGTCTTACAGCCAACTAAAATGTTCAAGTGCACTAAAAACTGGCTGCAAGTGGGTCTGGCCAAGACCTGCTCGGCTCGGCTCCCAAACGGGCCAACACATGAGAATGACAATAAATATTTTGTAGCTCTTACAGCTCGATTACAGCGGGAATCGGTGTGGTGTGGTAGTCGAGGTTGATCGATTAAATGCCCCGAAATGCCAACACTTGTGAGCCAACGAAGCGACGGGTGGCGGGTGCAACTCATGAAATATGAGCACGACGTGCATTGAATTCGGGTCACTGTTAGGCCAAAAACCCCAAAACCCAGGAGGGTGGGGGCGGGCATAACCGGCGCCTCAAAATTTTGTAATTCGATTTTGAGTTATGCGAAAAATTAAATTGGCAAATAAAATTGCATGAGCGCGCGCAACCCGCCGGCCATTGAACTGCTGGCAACTGCCGTTGACGACAATCTCAAAGTTTTTTATGTTTTCTTATGGATTGCTTAATATCTCCCTTTGCAGATACTCCTACCCGATACCCGCCTAGCCGCCACGCCGCGAGAGGAAAAACCGGACAAGCCAGTCAATAGAGTGGGCAAAAACGTGACAGGAGCAAAAGTTCAAGCAGGTAAGACGAAAATTTTCACACAGAATGCAAAAATGCGTAACCGAAACGTAACTTGGTAAGCGCCTCGATGGAGACTCCCCCTTCATCAGTCGATGTTGTTGGATATCTATAATTTACACTTTCGTTGCATGTACAATAAGTGGCAGTGCAATGACAATTGGCAGGGCTGCCAACACAGACAGACAGACAGACATACGGACTCGACTCTCATGCGCCATGCCACATAAAACACTTGTAATTCGAGGCGACTAACAATGTGTTGTCAGGTGTGGAGAGAGGCACTGGGATGGCGGGGGATGGCGATGGCGATTGCTGCCAGGTCCCAGGCTCATGCAAGACCAGGAAGAAATTCACCCGAAGCCACATTGCTGGCTGGCAATTGACTGGAAATGGCATGCAAAGAGATTGCAAATGCAACATGTCGGAATAGGAATACGAGTCAAAAGCTTTAGCCAAACAATGGCAGTCGGTGCGGGCCTAAACGGGCGTTTTAAATCCATTGTGGCGCTGCTGTTTGGCACTCTTGTCTTTAATTATGAACTTTAATTGGCCGCATATTGGCAGCCACATGCACACAGGCACTCAGGCACAGGCACAACAACGATGTGTGTGTTAAATGAAGCAGAAATTATGCGAATGCCAAATGCCAACGAACTCTCCTACTCCACCGCTCTTTGAACGGTTCAGAAATGCTTTCTCGCTGGCCGAAAGTTTCTTGGGAAACTTTCCATTGTGCTAGAAGAGCTCTCGCAAAGAAGAGCTGTGCAAAAGTTTCTACGTAGCAATATGCCCATATACATATAGTATATCTAATGCCTAGATAAATCTAATTTCATAGAAAATTTATTGTACAAGTTGGCCATAAAAGCAAACCAGCAGCGAAGAGCCACTGCCACTGCCACTCCATTGTGGCTCCACTGTCACTACTGTGGTCCGTGGAAAGCGTTCATTCCCCGGTCACAATTGAATAGATTTTCAGATTTACTTTTTCAAGTTAGAAACAAAAGGAAAAACAACCAAATAAAATGCCAGCTGCTGTTGCTGTTGCTGCTGCTGCATTCGACAGCGTTTAGTCTGAGAGATTTGCTTTCGAATGATGGCAGACAATAAAACTTTCCATTTCTAACAAAATTACGGCTACACTCCAAGCCAAGACCAAAACGGAGTGGAGACAGACAGCGAGGAAACAAAGCAAGACAAATTTATCCACTTATCTGATTTTGCTGTACTCATCTCTCATTCGGCTATGTGTCTGTGTCTGGCCGCACCATTCGGGTCTTTCGTTCGCCATTTGAAAGAGAATTTGTTTTACGGGAATTTCTTTTTTAAACAACAAGAGTAGGTACATATTTGTTGGGTATGATGTAAGCCACAGGCAAAAGGAGACACATTTTCTATCCCACATTTCAATGGGCATTCCCTAGTCATTATTTTTGTAGCTGTCGCTGCGCCACCCACAAATGCGCTTCAGTGTCTGTCGCCGTCTTCCCCCCATGTGACTATACAGAAAATCTTTTGTAGCAACAACAGCATAAATGTTGCATGTCAGGGCACACCATTCCCCCAGGTGACATGTTGCACACGTGTGCGCGCAACTTGCTGCCGCCCTGCTGTCTCCCGCCCGCCCGCTGATTTGTGGCTGCGCGTTTATGTGGCGGAACTGTTTATTAATTAATGACCGCATTTCGGGTGCTGATTCTGTTGGGTTGGCCTTTCTGCCGCTTTTCAGTGGGTAGCCAATTATTAGGTGCTAAATTGTTGGCCCAGCAAATGGGTTAAACGAGCTCCAGGCATGCAACATTCTCTCAATCAAATGGTGTGGCAGTCCTCCTCCTACTACTCCTCCTGAGAAATGTGTGGAGATCTCTAATGGAGGGGGGGAAAATGTCATTCCCCATTTATCGCCATCTGTTGCAAGCCTGTTGCTGCTGCTGTTGCTGCTGCTGTTGCTGCTGCTGCTGCTGCTGCGATTGCTTTCAGTTTGTGTGCGTTCCATTTTAGAGATGGACATGGACTGCGATTTTATCCTGCGCTCGTGCTGCAAAGGCTAAATTTCGTGAGTGCCCAGATATGTTTGGGTAAACCGAAAACTCTTGAAAAAATTGAAAGATGTAGAAGAGGGATTGGGAGATCTTTTTACTGCGCTTTTAATGATCTATTGTAACCAATGCTGAGCATAAAGGGGGAGAATTTTCGTGCATTTCTCTGCTTGCAGCATGACACACGAATATTCCCTCTCCCTAAAATTTTATTCCAGCCATAATATGCACTCAAAGATCATGGAATAAAGAACATAACAAAGACAAATGACTGAATGAATGTTTGAATTTCGTATGCAAGTCTCTCTTTGTTCGTGCGTGTTCGATGCTGTGCTTCAAATGGTGTGCACTCGTGGCCAGCTCTAATGGCGTTTATCTAATGGCTGCCTGTCAAAATGATAATGGTTTTTGGTGCGGCTGCCGCTAGATGGCGCTCCGCGATAAGCAGCTGCCAGGCAGCGTAGACCGACTGGAGGAATGCCTCAATTGAAAACTGTCAATTGCCGTGGCTGCATGCCACTCCACTCCATTCCACACACACACACCTCTTTTTGCTATCTCTTAGCCAATTTCGGTGTAGGCGCAACAGTGAAAGTTGTGGCCATGGCTGCAGGCAGATGGGCGATGGCCAAGAGAGAGAGGGGCAGAGAGAAGGCCGGTCGAGGGGGTAATTAATGCCAATTAAATGTCAAACAACGGGAAAAACAAACAACTTTTGTGCTGGGCGTGTCCCTGGTGGCAGTGGCAGTGGCAGAGACAGACAGCAATTCCATTCCATTATGCTGACCGAACTTTCAAAAGGCTGCACTGATTAATTAAAGCCAAGTTCAAACAGACCCAGACGGGGTTGTGGTTTCGGTTGCAGTTCAATTGATTTAATTTCCCACGAGCCTGCCCGTCTGCCTGCCAGCCTGCCAGCCTGCCTGCCTGCCTTCAGCATTCATCAGGCGATTCCCCCAGCTTTCTACCACGAAAACAAAAGAAGGAAAGCGCATGTTGCCCCCAAGTTGCAACTTCACTGGAGTATGTGTGTGTGTGTGTGTGTGTGTGGTAAGAGCCAGAAAAAGTTATTTATGATTATTTAATGCATGCCTTGGCATGCGGCAGGTTCATTGCCCAAAGACAAGACTCAACTCGACTCAACTCGCCAAATGCAAATGCAAATTGATTTGTGCGCTTTGCCCTGCAGTTGAACTTACGTCAACCGAAGACACCTACTGGCCCCGCGCCCCCTGCCCCTTGCCGCTGCCCCTGCCACAGTCCAGCACACAGGGCCCTGCCACAGCACCCCTTTCTCTTTGCATTTCTCTCGCTCCCTATCTCTCTGCTAATTGCTTGTCGCTGTCAACATGTTGCAGTTGCTGTTGTCACATCTACCATTGAACTTTGAACTTGGCTCAGCCTCGCAATGGTTTACTGACTTTCTTTTGTTGCGCGATGCCTGCCAGAAGCGCGGCTGCTGCTGCTGCTGCCACTGCTGCCACATGTTGCCACGTCATTCATCTGAAATGTGTATGTGTGTTGCTGCTGTCTCTCATACAAAGCGCCACACGAGACCACGTCTGGCCTTGCAATGCAAGGCACTGCATCAGTGCGTATACGTAATATTTGTGAGCCTTTGTGTGCCGAACATTGCACCAGACATCCCCCTTCCATTCAAAAGATGGAATGCTCGCTGTAAATCTTCAACAATTTGTAGCACAGATTAATGTTCTATTCCACTGTACATCCCACTGTACATACATTTGCCTTTCAGTCTCTCAAAGTCCGTCCAGCGGTTTGCTTGCTGTTTGTTTGCCTTTTCCCAAATGCAATACAGTTGTCGACCTTTGGCATACAATTACATGCTGGGCCTTTCGGCAAACCGGCAGACTGGCCCTTCTCCCTCACAGCACAGCCGCCCGCCTAGACAATCGCTTTAGACCGGTGCCAGACATCATCGAATTGTGTGTGTTTATATTTTCTTAGCTGCTGGTTGCTCAACCCAAATTGCCAACTTGTTCTCGTCTCTCCCTCTGACTCAGTCTCAAATTGCACAGCTTTTATGATTGTTGCTGTTGCTTGGTTGCTTTGGTGGTATTTCATATTCTAAAACGTGCAATAAAAGTCAAGCCAACACAGCATTCAAAATCCACTAAAACAACACAGCAATCCACAGCAACAAAAGGTCTCTGCAGATGGCTGAAAAGAGTTCAACAGAAAACAGGCAGTGGCAGCCATACAGAGAGCACAATTGTTCTGGGCGTTTATTGTTCCTGGTCAAGATTGGAGGTGGCTGCAAATGAAGCGTAGCAAACCGGATAACTTGGGCCCGAGCTCCTTCCCAAAATGTTTGCAGCTGTTTGGTAACCACAAAACTGTGTCCCTGCTCGAAGCATGACTCATGCACTCTCAACACTGCAACATGACTTGAGCCTGCAGCTGTAGTTGACAGGCGAACAAGCGAACAAATGGAGCTGGCCAGCAATTACAAATTGGCCAACAAATTGGGGGAATGTGGCGCCGTGTACGGACAGACCCAAAACCACCAAAAAAAAATTATCCCACGCAACAGGTTTTTCTGTCTTTATGTTCCTTTTTTATTTATTTTTTTTGGTTTCTAATGTGACCAAATGAGAAAGAAGTTCCTGAAGTCTTTGTATGCCTCATAAAACATTTTAATAGCGGGTTATTAAAAATTATGCCAAAAGTCTAAAGAGAGGAAAAGGGGAAAAGGATGGGGAGTGATAAGTTTAGTGGGGCTTTGTCATAAAATAAAGTTACGATGCCAGCGACAGCTGTTGCCCGTTGCACCCTTTGGGGAAGAGATAAAAAGTGGAAGTCGGATGCCTCTCCGGCACAAGACGGCAGCAGGATGGGCAGCAGAAGAGTGCGTTGCAGTACTCTTTTTTAATTAAGCAAAATGTTGCGGCAACACATGTGCGTGTCAGAATAAAAGAAGCTGAAAAAAAAACGTGGCAG